TTTTTTTTTTCTAAAATTTATTTAGCACTTTGTTTTAAACATACAAATAATTTTTAACGTTTCATTTAGAAATTGAACATTACGATCGAACTTAATAATTATGTAATTATTTATGCATAATAGTACAAGAAAATATTAATTTGTAAAAAACGCTTTAATAAAAGTTTTTGACTCTTTGTTTTACGCGTATTATGAATTTCTAAACAAACATTTCAATAAATATTTACTAAGTAAGATTTGTACATTGTAGTCAATTCATTTAATTTATCAATTTATACATTGTATTATTCAATTTGTACATTGTAGTCAATTTATTTCTTAAGCAAAACATATATATCTTGAAATTTATAAATTGATTTAAATCAATCTGAGTATGAAGTTTTGATAGAAATCTGACTTTCTGTGCCTTATAAGTAAATGAAATTCAAAAATACTATATCGTGATACATCGCTATATCGCGATGCAAAACTGACGATGCATCACGATATATAATTTCTAATATCGCCCAGTCCTAATGGGCAGTGAGTCTTACAAGCTTGTCAGGGATATTAAAGTGACTCTGAGCTTGAACGAATAGTTTCCCTTTAATGCTGTCATAAGTAGTTTTGAAATATACAAAAGAGATGGTGAGTTCCAATTCCAAATTCTCCGGGTCTTTTCCAGAATATTTCGGACGTAAAAATTTTTTCAGTTGTAGATCTACCACTCCTGAATCCGCACTAGTAATTTCCAATGGTGTGTTGTAGATTTCAGCAATAGATGGGCAATTCCATCATTTACTTGTGTCACAGTTGCAGATAGATGACTTGAAAAGTTGCGGATAGATGATTAGAAAATATAATTGCTTTAGTTTTTTTTAAAAATTGATTTGAAAACAAGTCACTCAGTTCTATTAATCGTTGTTAAAATTATGCAAATATAGTGTCATCTATGCTTCAATTGGATTCCTGCAAGAGGAGTCGCACTTGGGTAAATCATGGAATTTGTTTATACAACAATTCAACAGCCAATCAGGTTCAACATATATACATGACGTCACTTTTAGGTATCCAGTTAAATCTAGAGCCCCTTAATTACAGTCGTAGTATAGGAGCCTTAGTTAAATCTGATCCCAAAACTGATTCAGCGTGATGATAAACCACGCATAATAGTTTTAACATGCTAAGCTAATTTCATTAATTTAAGAAGAAAAAAAATTAAAGCCTAGGCGTTAATTCTGTTACAGTGAGTTTCATTTTTTTTTTAAAAATTACATTTTTAAAAGCTACTAAAATTGAAATAAGTGTTAATGGCAACAAAAGTTATTTTAATAAAAAATATAAAATCTACCTGCCTTTTTTTTAACTCAGTATTATGCTTTTCAAAATTATGTATACAAGCTTCGTCAATAACGGAATTGTCGGTATATAGTAATTACAAGGGCGGGAAGGGACTTAACAACCTTTATTGTCACGAAAGAATTTCTAATATAAGTGACATATGAGAGAAATACTATAAGGGGGGAAAGAGTAGTAGATCACCATGGTTACGGCGTATAACTATAGACGGGTAATGTCTATCGATCTTTAGTAGGATAATATATAAGTTAAAGTTTCAGAAGAGGGTCTGAACAAAGTTTTTCATTTATACTCAACTGATAACGGGTAAGTTTTTATTCAATTCAACTAAAAGTTTGATTTCTGTTGTTTTTTTATTAATATATATAATTTTTTCAAGAAATAATTCTAACTTACCCAACCAATCCTTTTTAAGAACATATTGAATAGAACAATTTAGATAAATAGGAATTAATTTAGTGTAACTATCCATTTGTCATTATTATAAACATTATTTGATTTCTTTTGTTTAGTTTGTTAGTATGAAAAATAATACAGATCAATTCGAAGCATAATTTCTGCATGAATACGAAGAATGATTATTTTTTGCCAATTGTTCATTTATTTATTTTATTAAACTTTCTATTATTATGCATAAAATTTTTATTAAATATTATTATTGTATGTTTTTTTTGTTTGTTATTAATTTTAAAAATGGGCTAACGATTTTAATTAATAAAATAAACAAAAGAAAACAAAATAGATTAATTAATAATATCAGTATACATAGATATCTAATGTAACTCGGAAATAGGGCTGAATTTATTTCCACCCGTTGGACACAGAAACGAAGTAATTGCATTTTATAACGGAAATTCAAATAACTGCTAAAATAAAAGCAGTATGTTAAGTAGAAATGGCCCAACGATTGTTCAAGGATCAGTTTTGATCATCCTGTCTTTATATGGGCAATGGATAATGATAACAAAGTATTTGGATAAATTTTTCCAACATTAGTGTGAGAAAATTATAATCATTCTCGTTTATTCAAACAATAATTAATCAAATCACAGATAATTGTAATATGCACATCTTCTTTCCAGCTCTACAGCCATCAGTGGGTCTTTGCTTTTATTTACACAGAGTTTCATTGCTACCTTTCACCGGCTCTCTTTATTCAATTCATAAAATGAAGGTCCCTTTAAAAATGGCCCAGCCATCTCAGTTTTGGTTTATCTCCTTTTCTGCTGTTATAAAGTTCATGTTTTTTTTGTTGGCTCATCTGCTTTTTCATTAATTCGATATGCTGTCACCAATATATTCTATGAATGTTATTCCTCTTTATTCGCTGAATTAAATTTCATTACTTGCAATATCAATTTTAAAACTTTTATATTCGATATGTGAATTTTAAAACACGAGCAAACAAACATAAACAAGAATTATTTCCCACACCAAAATTAAAATGCGAAATTTTCTGCAAATTCAACTAGTAGTGGTTACGAATATAAAATAATTAAAAAAAAAAAAATCTTTGCTCACTTATTGACAAAGGCATTTGGTGCTAAATTTTACATTATTCTGCCCACCATATGAGCTGGTTGTAAATGGCTAATTTCAGCATAATATTTCTTGTCGCCAAATAAGTTTTTCCATTCTGAATTTAAAAAATAGAGGAATGAAAAAATAGAGGAGTATGTTTTACTTAATAAATCTTTTATATTTTTACATGAAAGATAAACATCGATATTAATTTTAACTATTGATTCAATTCTCAACTGTAGGGGGCAGTATTTCAACTTCCGGTTGAAAATTCCTTTTGTATTGATTTCAATGTTTTTTCTTTTTCTTTGTTTACGTCATCTTTTGACTTATTTTTTAACATAATTGGGTATACTATAGCTTACGTCACAGATCGTGTTATTCCTACTAAATTTAACTAGTAAACAGCATTTTCTGCGAACCTGATTTCTAGCAACAAGTAAAAGCATCAAACGAAGTGTCTTGTTTATAAGTCGCTACTCGCAAGATTGGAATTGTATTAGTCTAGTTCCTTTGGAAATAATTTATATTGTTGTTTTACCGAAGTTTATGAATTTAGTAAGCATATTTAAAACTCAGTTTATTAATTAAACTAAAAGGTAAATGTTATTCCTAGTAAGTGGAAGTAGTTGTGCTTTTTTCATATTATACCCAATTGTTTTTGATGGTGAACAATTCGCTTGTAAATGGCGGCAGTTGTTTTGCTTTAGGGTGCGCTCTGCGTCGAATTTGTTATCTGGAATCGATGCTTTAAATTTCCTAAAGACTCATCACGTCGAATTTAATGGAGTGAAACATTAAAATATAAAGACTGAAAGAATAAAAAAATAGTTAGGTTCCTCTTTGACGTCAGAGGAGGACAGCAAGACTTTCTGTAGAGTTTGTTTGTTTTCTTAAAGTAGATGGTGAATTCTGTTAATTGGATACCTTATTCAATCTGATCCGAAATTTGATTACCCGATTAGTTTTTTCCAACTCTTTGAACGAATAAGATTGCTATCCGAGTACTGTCGAAGTGCCAGGCACTTTAACTTCTTTGGTTACAGATCATGCATGAGCTAGATCACTATTTTTAATATTTGATGAGTGAGTGAAACTATCCTAAATGGTGTACAAAATTTGAAGTGGCGAGCGAAAGGATATAGGGATAGCAAACCACTAGTTACTAATAAGCTTACATTAAGTGAGATTTTATGGTAATCCTTAGCCTTGCTATCCGAAAAACAAAATGTGAATTGTCTCAGGATGTACCGAGTTATAAGCAAGTTTAATTATTTAAAAAAAATCGTCATTTCTTGCCTCATCGTAAATACACAAAACTCTGTGGCTCTTTTAAATTTTATTCTTTTAAGAAGTAGATATTACATTTGTAATACATCCAGAAACATATTAATATTTTACACTAATGCGTAAGATTATTTCCACAATTGGTTTGTTTCCTCATTACTGCAATTAAATTTTTGCTGCCTCTTCGAGTTATGGATGACAAAGACAAAGTAAATTTTATACATTTGTTTATTTATTATATTTATTTTAAATTCTTATATTGAATAGACTATCGACTAGTTATCTAATTATGTAATTTCCGAATTATCTCTAATAAATTTCTGTAAAAATCCTCTTATTTTGGTGATTTTTTATGTTTTTGCAGAAAACAGGGAAAATCGAAAGTGAGATTTCTTATGATAAGAAATCGAGATAGGAATAATTGGAAAATGGAGGAATTTATATGCAGTAAAACTCCAAGGTACAATGCCTAATCCAAGGTGCAATTCAAGGATAAAATTTCTTTTCGAAGCAAAGTTTTGACAATTAATTTTATATTCTCGTAATTAGTTTTGTAGAAAACTTTAAGGATATTAAACTTATCAAATAAATTATAATAAACAAATAGCAATGAATTAATAATAAACAAATATTAATGAATTAATAACAATAAACAAATATTAAGGAACTAATAATACTAATGAATAATAATAAATAAATAAGTGATAATATTTAGTTATTCTAAGATATATAGAGGCTCTGAAAAATGCTAGTGCGTGATGATGTTTTGATTACGCTATTAACAGCACTGATATAAACGTTCTCAGTTCTCTTTTAAAATATTTTATCATAGAATATCAAAAAATTAAGCATTTTCGACTATCTTTGAATTCTTCTTAATGTTATTTTTTTAGAAAATTTTTTTGTGATGTAATATTTAAGATGTGATTCACTTTCCTAATGAAAGATTTATTGACGTAATACAACACTTACCTAAAACTACCTTTCAATATACTTTTTTGAAGATTCGATATTCCTTCATAAAATAAGGTTAATTTCGTCCTACAAATCCAAACAAAACATATTTGACATGAAAGAACTTTTTGATAAGAAAAAGCTTTCTTACTTTGGAAGTTTGAAGAAATCCTTTTTTTTCTTAGAGTAGTTAAGGGTTTCCCAAATGAAAAGTGGATAAGTGAAATAGTGTCAGAAATACAGTAACGGTAGCAGCGAAATCATTCAGGGGTGTAAACGAATGTAGGAAAAGAATGTACCGCAATCTGCATAAAACTAATTAATATCGTTATATGAGAGCATTTAAAGTGAATGTAAAGTTAAAAAGAGGATGTATCCTGAACAGAACAACGAGAAGTAGTATGAGTTTTAGTGATTGCGCCATTCCTTTCATGTCAGACAAAGTGCTGCCCGATGTGTAATGAATAAATTCATAGACGCAATGAATTCATAGGAGAATATTCTGACGTTTGCTTACTCCCAATTTTAGCAGATCCAATATTAGTGTACTCCCTTAACGAAAACTCTTACACCATTTGTTCACAGCTGTTTGTACTAGGCAGTGTTAGCTATAAACAGCAAACATTTGATGATGAATGTCGTATTACGCTTAGTTTTTGCCACTAAAATTTGTTCTACTGCATGTTCTTTTGTTCTAAACGCATCTATCTTAGCACGACTATACATTCACCTTAACTGCTCTCTTGAGAACTGGTTAATCAATTATACGCAATTTCTTAACAAATCAGTTTAGACGGTGCACTCTTCTTACTTTATAACATTGGAGAGTAGAGCTTCTATCACTAATGTATCTATGACGCTATCACTCGTATCCATCTTTCTTTTTGTCAACTTTGTTTTGCAGTTGATTTCTTTTATTTAGTCTGATTTTGAAAACCATGTGTTATGTTTATTTACATCTGTTACCTCTCTTGATCGTTTTATTCATAGGACATTTCATCAAATCTTGAATCAGTCAATGAAAGGGAAACAATGGACGACGCCTTGGATGAAGAACTTGAAAATAAATCTAATAATGCATCCGAAAGCTCTGAAAAATTAGAAACATTAGAAGATGTTCAGAATCTTCCAGTGAAACAGTCATTGGAAAAACAATCTGAGAAGAAAGAACCAGTTAGTGAAAAAGAAGGTGAATCAGATAGTTTGTCAAAGAAAAATGAGACTTTAAAAGCAGAAAAGCAACAGGAAGATATCTCGCAAAAAGACAAAGAGGCTTTGTTGTTGCGCGAAGATGAAATCGAGGCTTCAAAAACAGAAAAACAACAAGTAGAAAGCTTATTGCAAACAGAAAAGGAGGGTTCAGTGTTAGGTGAAGATGAAATCGAGGCTCCAAAAAGAGAAGAACAACAAGGTGCAGATGCATTGCAAAAAGACAAGGAGGGTTCGTTATTGAGTGATGATGAGGAAGTTGGTAAAGAAGAGAAACGCCGAGAAAAGATGAAAGTCTTACTTTCTGGATATTTAGAAATGAAAACGAGGAAGGAAATTGAAAAAGCTCTACTGAATGAGAAGAAAATCATTGCTCAGTGGCTCTATCCTTTCAGAGGCACTTATCAGAAAGAGTGGGAGCTGGAAATGAAGAAGCTAAAACTTGGATTTCAGAGGGCTTTGGATTTTAAGAAAGCTCATATAGAGGCAATCCAGACAGAGCGAAAACTTGTCGAGCTTAACCACTTGTGGGCGGACAGTGCACATTATAAAATTTCACAAGAACTTTTTGACTTTTTGAATCTGCGGTGTGAGAAACTGAAAACTCGATATATGGAAGAGTTGGAAGAAACCAAGAGATATTATCTGGAAAGGGAAAAAGAAATAACAGATAAATGCACGAAGGCTGAGGAAAGAGCTAAGGCTTTGGCTCGCATGCGAAGGACTGTTCACGACAAAACTCTTCAGAAAACTAACGAAACTATCGAGCGTTTCAGGGATGAGAGTGAATTTTATAAAGTAAAAGAGACTGAGCTAATAAAGATGAAACATTTGACTCATGTTGAAATAATAACTAAGGAGCTTCAAGCTTCGATTTCGCCTCCAGAGCATAAAATAGAAGAAATCAGAGCTTTGTTTATGGATTGGAAAACGAAATACGAAGGCTACCTCACCGTGAGTGAAAAAATTAAGAAAAGGATGGAAAATTATGGCAAAGAAATACCTCAGCTAGAGGCCAAAGTTGCCTCAGAAAGGAAGAAACTAGAAGATATCAGAAAGGAAAACAAAATGGAGAAGCAAATTCGAATGGAAGAAGTTACTAGATTGCAAAAAGAAGCCAGAAATTATGACAAATTAGACCCGTCGCTTCGCAAAATGATCACTGCCAGTGAAGAAGTAATGATACAGCTAAGAGAAAGGAAATCTAAATTGGATAAGATACGGAAGCTTAAAACTATGTGTGATAAGTTAGAAACTGAAAATGATAACATTCTATCAGACATCATTCTTCTAGAACCTAATGAAATGAAGGATTTGAAAGAGAACGATTGTTTGCCAATGATTACAGATTTGTGTGCTGGTAATGTAGAGGATCATAATTTACTTCATAACGTACACCGAAAGATAAGCAAAGTTAAACTTCAAAATCAATTTCTCCTTCACAATATTGAAAATTTGAAGATAGAGAATAAAGCCTTGAAAAGTGATATGAAAAAATATCTTCATCTTATTTCCAGGCGTGAATGGGAGAGACTTCCCGAGGATAAGTATGCTACTTTATATGAATTGCCAGGAAAAACTTCTCAAAATGCTCATGTACCTGCGGAATCCGATAAGCACGAACGTTTTAAGGCAAACTTGAAATTGTTGAACAATAGATTTCACCCTTCGAACAAAGAACTGATAAGGGGATTGGGTAACATGTAAGATTGCAATATTATATTGTGAACTGAATACTAATGATGAGTTTTAACAAATGTAAGTAACACCATTAAAAACTTTTTATAACTTGGCGAATTCAGAATGTTTTGTCTCCTTAATATAGATACACAAAATATTTCAATATTTTAAGGGATCCGGGATGCATTTTTGAATCTTTTAAAATCATAATTATGGCTCTTTTGATTTTTTTATATGTTGTACCATACAGTAAGTACACAAAAAAACTTACAAATGTCGAAGTAAATTATTAAAAAAAAGGAAAAATTTTTAAAAAATTTAAATAAATTATTTTGAATAATAATGTTTATAATTTAATTTTATCTCATAATTTTTAAAATAAAACTTACATATTTTTGCTTTTTGTTATTTTATTTGAATTATAAGGCCAAATTCAGAGTAACTAAATTAATGTATACTCTAAATTTCTAAATTTATCTTATGAAGGTTTTATGTAACGGCTTAAAATGAAAAAGAAAAAAAAATATATAAAATTTATTATGATAAAATAGTATTTTAGGTATAAGCATCAATTCAACTTTATTCTCTTAAAAGCAGTGGTACATATATTGTAATTGCTGTCCTTAAAATGTATATTCAAGTTAGATTAATAGATATTGAACTCTTCAAAATAGTACTTATAATTTTTAGCACAATTTACTCTTTGCTTATAAAATTTAATTATCTCCACATCTTAACTTTGTCTTAAACATTGTACAAAAGTTTATGACTAAGAAGACAACAACAAAAAATAAATAAATATATAAAATAATAATAATAAAACAAAAATTTTAATAACCACATTTTTCAAGTGAACTAAAAATAAGTCAATTATTTGCACACTTAAAACATAAACATAAGGTGCAGCACTTTCGAAAGTAAGAAGGAAACGCCTAAGTGGTGATAGAATTTTTATTACGAAAGTGATGCGTCCTACGTTTTTCGTATTAAATGTGACAAAAATAAAAATTAATTTCATCTTTTTAAATCCAAAGGAATAAAGTAATTTTTGATTACTTCTTCACGTATTTCACTATTTTCTTCTTTCTAGTCTTTTGTCTGTTAGCTTTATAGTTCGAAAAGCTGTCGAATTTCGTTTGGCGATGGAATTGAAATAAAGTTTACATGCAACTTTTCAGAAAACATTTATATTTTCATCAATAACATAGTGTTAATTATTGTTGGAATTTGTGCACTAAGGAACTCGAAATTTTATTTGAAAATTAAGTCTTTTTGGTGATAAATTTTACTGGTCAGAAAATGAGAAAATGAGTCAAACTAGTACAGTCAAGTGATATCAAGCTACAGTTGAGATTTGATCTCTCGAGTTACTTAAAGTAGACGAAATTATGATAATCAATGAATTCTTTTTGGCGATGATGGCTGTAACTTTTTTTCGTATATGTTAGGAAACGATTAAAATTTGTGTTACCATTAGTCCAGACGTAGTGCTCTAGTAGAGATTTAACTGTTCTAGAAAAACTTTGGTCAAAATTCCGTTTGCATGATTCCATTCTTACACTCACGAAGGCAAATAAATAAAAACGTAATAAAAACTTCGTTTCAAACATTTGTTTCCTTTACACTAATAATATTAAAAATATTTTGAGAACTTGACAATCTTGATTATTCTATTGAATTCTATAGCTCTAGTTCAATTGAATTATACAAACTTGAGAAATTCTAGTCAGTTTGTGTGTGTGAAGAATAAAATAAAAAGTACAATATCAATGGGATTATATAAAAAAAACTTCGATGAATTCTTACGCGTTTCTCCAAATATATCTTTCGTGTTTATCCTGCATAATTATGTAGAAACAGGCAGGGAAAATAAGAGTTTATTTTCTTTTTTAAAATACGTCGTCTTGATAAGAAATAGCATTGTTGGAATTTCGAGCTATTTGGTAAATCTAGGACAGTGTTCATTAACAAGTGTTCCGTTATTGTTTAAGAAAAAAAATTTCCTCACAAAATTTTGAAGCATGCTAAATACTAAAATGGTGGTATAAATTGCAGCAAAATTTATTGCTCCTAGATTTTTTACTGTAAGCGAAATATTTATGAGAACTCATATAGAAACTTAATATTCACATATTGAGACGTGGTTAAACCAGGTTGAACTAAAATTTTGAAACTGAATGAAAATCTTATGTTTGTTTACAGTAATTTCAATATTAAACCGTCCCGCAGTGGACTGATCGTTAAGACACGGTTCCCAGCAGATCACCGAAGTCAAGCATCACTGGCTGCGGTCAGTGTACGGGTGGGTAACCACTTGGATCAGTCTGCGTAGGGACCGAGGGTGTGCGCTATTGATCCTCGTTAACTGTTCTACCGTAAAGTGCTCGACTTCACGCGCAGGTCATCGGGCTACCGAAGCAGGGGTGCCACCCCCTCTGCAGAGGATCAAAAATTGTGGTGGCATGTCTTCGATTCATTCTCAGGGATGTTTCCCAGACCGTCGCCAAAAACCCATAGTGCAGCTCTAGTGCGACGTAAAACTACAACTCAATAATAAACAAACTCAACAGATGTTTTTTTCTGTACTACGATTTATAGGAAATAAATGTATCGTATTTTAAATATATTGTATTTTTCTGCATTATAATTTTTAGGCAATATAAGATTTAAAAAATCCCTTTTTATTTGCTATTTTAATAATATCATTGTAGCAGGACCTTAATACTGAATTTTTTCTGTAAGGCCTGCATAATATCGAAAATAAAATGAAATATTGTTGAGATTAATAAATGTTGAAAATAAGAAGAATAACAATATTTATTAGCTTTTACATTTACAATATCAAAACATTTTCAATGATGTGCATAAAATACTACCACAAATACAAGAATTATGTACACTAAATACAGATTTTAACATTATGGTAACGCATGAAAAAATATCTTTCGTTTATATTTCTTCCATTAAAAAATTACATACCAAAAATATATTTCCATAATAAATCATAAAATATTCACACCTTTAAAAAATGGTTTTATTTTATATACTTTTCCCAACATTTATTTTCATTGAACGTTTTTAAAACTGTTAGTAATCGCAAAAATATAAATTGTTCAATGCTTCTCAAAGAATCTAATAATAAATATCGAAAAAGGGTTTTGCTTTTATTACTTCGCGTAATTTAGTAATTTATTATTTTAAAAAGAAAATTATTTAAAAGGGATAGTGAGCATTTGAGCAATTTTGGGAATATTGTTTTGATGGCTTGATTAGAACAGCTGTAAGGCGATTTTAAAGTGGATGAAGTTCAAAAGTCAGTTGATCTGCCAAATACAATAATTTTTTAACATTTCAGAAACATTGCTTTAATTGAAAGATTAGAGCAGCTGTAAGGTCATTCAAACGTAGGTGAAGTCGAAAAAAGGCAAGTTGCCAGCCAAATGAAACAATTACAACAAATTTGGAACATTTCGGAAACATTGTTTTGATTGAGTGATTATAGCAGCTGTGTAAGACAAGGCGATGTGAAAGTAAGTGAAGTTCAAAAAGTCAAGTTTGCTAGCCAAACACAACAATTTTAGAAATACAACAAATTTTGAACATTTTGGAAATATTGTTTTGATTGAATGATTAAATCAGTTGTAGAACTGATTTAATCGGTGTAGTTTAAAAAGTCAGTCGGTCAGATAAACACCATAATTTTGGAAATACAACAAATTTGGAACACTTTTGAAGCATTGTTTTGAAATAATTAGAGCAGTTGCAAGCAGGCCATTTAAAATTAGGTCAAGCACGAAAAGGCAAATTGCCAGCCAAATACAACAATTACAGCAAATTCGGAACTTTTTGGAAACTTAATGGATCAAACTATTAAAATTAAACTTCTAATATTCAATTAAAAACAATAAAGGAAAACCACTAAGTCATCAATTTAAATAGAAGTTAATCATTTTGCCGAAGCATGGCGCTAAAATCGTTAGGCCATGGTTCTCATTTTGCCAGCAGTGAAAAAAAAGCGTTGCTTTTCTATAATTATATTTTAGAGGAGAAACAAGCTATATATTTCTCTGTGCTATACAGATTTCAACCTATTGTAATATTATTTCATGAAGTTCTTAAATTTTCAGTTTTACATTTCAATAAAAAAAGTTGTTTGTTGTTTTTTATCAATTCATTAAGCGGTCCTGCTTTAAAATTAGATTATGAGTTATATCTGCAAATAAATACGGTGATGCATCATTAAATTAATGCCAATAATTTGCGACCAAGTTAAATTCGCTGATTTCGCGAATGGACAGCAATAATTTTAAATAATATTATTATTGTTATTATTTTTATTTCATTCATTATATTTCCTATTATCATTTTTATTATTTTTTATTATTGTTATAAACTTTTATTATAAAAAAAATCATTTGATTAATTTTTCAGAAAAAATAATGTTTTCAGAGAAACCGGAAAATGATAATTGAGCGAACGACAATGCCATATCATGAAAACTGCATTTTAAATTCGAATTTACTTTATTTGTTGTGTCGGAAGAACAGCATTGTTTTTAATTATTATTCAGTACCTGTTATTTTTAAAAGTTATGATTTGCAACTACGATAGAAAGCGAAAAATACAGTTTTTAATCAGCTTATTTTCAAATATATATAGTTTTCAAATATAAATAAAATTATAGTTTTTAAATTAGAATATGAAAAGAAAAATATATTGAGCAAAGGGTTAAATTACAATTAAGTACAGTAAGGAGAAATCAAGAACTATCAAAACTCGGGTATCCAATAAAAAAAAAGTAAGTTGAAAAGCCTTTTTATAGAAGACGTTCAAAGTTTCACGACATCGCGTATCAGGTTTTGTTGGGAAGAGAAAAATGAGAGAAGAACGTACACACTACTTAGACATACAAGGTGATTCATAAAGACTACCCTTAATACGTATTTTTAGAATCCTTATAAAAAAAGAACAAAACAACCACAAAAAATCTACACCTTGAGAGCTCAATTTAATATTTGACCCACGAAAAGAAGTAAAAACACTACTGGAATCTGAAAAATCACAATGCAGGGAGGAGGACGTAATAAATAATAAGACAAGTTTGATTGCAGGAAGAAACGAGATGAGTTGGAAGATAGAAAACTTTCAAAAAGAAAACAATGAAAATAATAAAAAAATAGTGAAATATTATAATGACAACCGAAGCTGACGTCGTCAGGGGGAACCAGCCCTGGATGTCATAAAAATACAAAACCTTTCTTTTTGAGAGAGCACGACAAATATCTAACATTTGCTCTCTCCGTACCCCAAAAGTTTTGCAAGAAGTAAATAAACTAATTACAAAGGGAAAAATAATTTTCAAAAAAACCTACTGAAAAATATTCCTTTGCTAAAACAACAACACACTGCATTCTGAAAATCCTTCACCTAATTGAAATTCACAAACAAACTACGCCTCCACTTAATGCGCAGTAAGAAGAAGAAAAAAAGGGAAGGAAAAAAGAAAAAAAAGGAAAGAAGGAAAAAAAGGGGCAAAAGAAAGGAAAGAGAGGGAAAAAAAGGAAAATATGGGGGAAAGAATGGGAAAAAAAGAAAAAAATGGGGGAAGAAAGGGGGAAAAATGGGGAAAGAAAGGGATGGGGGAATAGGGATGAAGAAAAGAAAGGGTATTTATGCGCATTTAGAGGGGAAGTAGTTACTTTGTGAATTTCAGTTTGGTTAAGGATTTTCAAAATGTAGTGTGTTGTTGCTTTAGCAAAGAAATATTTCTAAGTGGGATTTTTTAAAAATATTTTTCCTTTTGAAATTAGTTTATGTATTTTACTTTTGTATTTTGTTTTTGTATTTTGTATTCTTTTTTTTCTCTCTTCCTGGACTTCTTGCAAAATCTTTGGGGTACAGAGAGAGCAAATTTTAGACATTTGATGTGCTCTCTCGATAGAAGAAGTTTTGTACTATTTTCATGACTTACGGGGCTGGTACCCACTGACGACGTCAGCTTTGGTTGTCACTATTATATTTTTCATTATTTTTCTTTATTTTCATTGTTTTTATTTTAAATTTTCTATTGGTTTAAATTTTCTTGTGGAATTTCTGCCGCACTGCGCAATTTTCCTTTGGAATAATATTTTCTAACTGTTTTTTCATGATTTTTAATTTCTTTTTTTATTAATGAATTGAAAGACACTTATTAGAAACACATTAAGCGTTCAACCTCCAATTAAACCTGTTTTGGTTTTAACTTCCTTCACCTTCCTCTTCTGTAATTTGTCAGATAGCGATTTTGTTTTTCCTCCCTTAAATATCAATTTTCAACCCTCCGTGTGCAAACGTCTTTACTCTTTTTGTTGCATATTTGTTCATCCTGTTTAAAGCATTGTGTTCTATGTAGTTTTCTGCCAAACTCAAGACGATAAGACTAAGGTAATGGTTTATGCATAAATTATGCATTATTAATTCTATTGACTAGTGTTTAGTCTCATTTCTTAAAGTGTTAAAAATACGAAGAAAATAATAAGTCAATACTCTAGATCAGTGTTTCCCAAACTTATGACTTTAGTGAACCCTTTCTAAATTTTTCGTAACGCTGTATACCACTAATAAAAAAAATGAATGTATTTTTTACTATAAAAAAATTTCACGAAATTTGAAAATCACAACCGGCGTTAACTCAGCAGAAAATAGCCAATAGAAAAATACGTAATCGTATACTTTCATGGCAAGCTATATTTGCAAAAAAATGTTTTTTGAAATTGTTGCTTGTTGAAAGATATTTGGCATAAGAAAGCGTACCCCCGCTAAATTGTTCCCGTACACCTGGGGGTACGCGTACCACACTTTGGGAAACACTGCTCTAGATAGAAAGCGACATCAGACATTTTGTACACAAACCTCTTATAAATTCTAAACTATTAGTCCTATCGTCGCTTGGAGTTTGGTTTCATTCAATTCATAAAAAAAATGGAAATTTTTACAATGTGTCTCAATGAAATAAAGCAACGTTCATTTTGTGACATAATTGGACAAAAAAAAAATCAACAAGGACAATATATATATATATATATATATATATATATA